GGGGGGGGGATAGGAGAGACATCAGGAGTCTAATAGCCCTCTGATGTCTCCATAAAGAGAACCTGTCCCCTCCACTTAGGGGTGTGATAGCAATAAAGTTAAGTGAAAAAAAATAAGAAAGTACAAAATTATAAAATAAATGATTATAAAAAAATTAAAACCAAGCCTGCCACCCCCGGCATCTGCATGGGAATGAAATGACGCTTGTAGAGCGTGTTACCGCAAATGTTGAAGAGAGAACAATAATTGTGGGTCCATAATCTAGTGTTAACTCTATATTTATGAGCAGTAAAGGCTTGTAAAGCGTTGTCTATGGACAATTTTGAGTACCATAGTTTTTCGCCACTGCATGGGTGCGTGCTAGGGATGCACCGATACTTTTCGAGTACCAATGCCGATACTTGGCATTTTCATGAGAACTACCAGGGTTGCAGCGGTTGCAGCTGGGACCGGGCTCTGGTGCTCCATCACTGGTCTGAAATCATTAGTCGATATTGTTTTAGAAAAACTGTCACATGACAATAAACAGAAATGTATTAATACTTGTAAGTACTTGGGCAAGTACCAGTACTTGTACTCACAAAACTGGTATTGGTGTATCCCTTTATTTATATTTATAAAAACAAAATCATACATTAAAACAGAGATGTACAAATCCCAGGAGCTCTGTGTGCTCCTTACAAATGTCAGCTGCCTCCTAACTTTTCAATTTTTCTCTGGTGTAGTCTTGGAGCTTGAAAAGTATCGGTACATGTACTTGTACCGAGTACTGTACTTGGTATACATGCATCCCTAGTATGTGCAATTGTAATGCTTGACATGGTGTTACTCCATCTTTTACATTTAAAAAAAAAAAGTGGTATTGTGTTTGTTGCACTAAAATTTATTTTGGTGTTTTTTTCCCTAAAAATATCAATTTGATAAACATTTGCACAATTTTCTATTAAAAAAATTCAGATTTTAGTACGTGTGTGCAAAAATTCAAAAGTTGTTCAGGTACTAAGGGGGTTAAAGACTTGAAGACGTTTCTAAGGACTTATTCTCCCTAGCAGGTCCTAACCTGGAACCAGTTATTGCCCTTCTGTCCATCTGCCAGTCCCTGGGGGTATGCTCCATGGATATGTCTAGGGATCCAGGATCCATCCTTACTGATCACTTTGTTATACAATTATTGGAACTTCTACTAGTAGACCTGCACTTCTGTGTTGGGGTGCAGATTTATTCCCAGGCACTCTTTTTCCCAGGAAAGAATGCTAAACCTCAGACTGAGAAACTGTCTGCTTTGAATCTAAGAAGATTTCCATTTGTTTCCCCCAAAAATCTACACATTATACAACCATTATACAACCTTATAACCCTACAATTATTACTTTTCATATTTTCATAATATTTTATATATAATTCATATTTCACTATGTATATTTTTAATTCCTTGATTTTCGTATGCAGTGTTGTATTGCTTTGTTAGTCCCTTACTCGTTACGCTCGTAAGTTATAAGAATCATGTATATATATGAGCATTGTTTTTAATATTCATAATTATGCAATAAATCTTTTATATGAACATCAATAAATTTATACGAATTATAACTATATGAGTACCCTCAAAAAAAACCCTGCACAACCTAGGTTGTATAATGTGTAGATTTTTGACTAAGTTTGGGGTGAGGCCTCTATTCACCTGGGGGAGTAATTTGGGAAGTGCCTGTTTTGGAATCATTTGTTTCCCCCAGATATTGAAGTCCAAGGCTAAACCTGGGATTCCATTTAACTTCTTCAAGACTTGAACTCCCAAAGCCTCCAAGTCCGCAGCCAAGTTTGCTTGGCAAAGTGGGGGGCATTTGTTGGCATTTGCTACCACCTTGTCCGAAATCATCTTAGACGCTTGGGTGATGGACATAGTGTCTGAGGGTTACAAGCTTGAATTTTAAGCTCTACCTCTGCAACGCTTTATGTTGTCCAACCTGCCAACATCCCCGCAGAGACTAACATACCTTCACACTACTCTGGCACAACTCCTCTCTCAGGAAGTCATAGCCATGGTACCAGAACAAGGTTTCAGGGTTTCTTCTCCAACCTGTCCACTGTCCCCAAAACATAAGGGGGCATTCAACTCATCATGGATCTGAAGGCTCTCAGTGCCTACATTTGAGTACACAATTCTCCATGGAATCTGTCAGATCAGTCATGTCCTCCCTCCATCTGGGGAACTATCTGGTCTTGGTGGACTTTAGAGATGAACACTTGCACATCCCCATACATTTGTTGCTTGGACAACCTTCTCCTGGAAGAATAGTTGCCTCATACCTTGTTTGCCAACATCTACTGAACTTTTCAAACTCTACAAAGTTTTGGTTGGGTCCTGAACCTTCAGAAATCAGCAATGGAACCTAATCACTTGTAGTATCTGGGTCTCCTTCTAGATACTGCTCAGTTTGGGTTCTTTCTACTGCAGGACAAACTCCTGACTCTCCACTCTCAGGTTCAGATTCTGCAGTTTAATTCAACCCTTCACTTTTGCATGAGGGTTCTAGAATTTGATGGTTGCCTCCTTCAAGGCTTTCCTGTATGTCCAATTCTACTCCAGACCTTTGCAACTAAACATTTTAGGGACAAATGCGCCCTAGACAACCATGTGCACCTGTTACCCAGGACCAGGTGGCTCTCAAATCTGCCCCTGGAATCAGGAAAGTTCTTCCTCATGTCTGTCTGGAAAATCCTTACAATGGACACCAGCCTGGCAGTCTAGGGTGGAGTCCTAGATACCTTTTCGGTTCAGGGAAATTGGTTGCTGGAAGAAAGCTCACCTCCCTATCAACATATGTACACAGCTAACTCTAACTTTTATCAGCTCCACTTCCCTGAACTCTCCATCTAGTACAAAATCACAGGGCGCAGCACAGTTTCCAGTAGCTGTCCATCTACTAGCTTGCAATAGGGAGAAGGAAGGAAGAAAAAGAGAGGAGCAGGGGAGTGTATTGCCTTGCTGTGCCTGTATGTTTTTAGAACATACCAGCACTCATCTTATTGCATTGGGATTCAGGTCTGGAGTATCGGTGGGACATAGATTATTATGTACATTTTTAGAGCTACACAAAGCTTACTAGCACACACAAGGGTGGCTTCATAGGACCCTGCAAGGTAAAGGATGCATCCTAAAACAGGATATCAGGGCCATTGCTCAGG